AGCTCTATCGCTCTATAGGGTCTTCACAATGAGGGAAGTTGCATGAAAAACTGTGCTTTTATTATGAATTTGCATCACTGGTGGCACTCTGTCAATATGGCAATAGGTGGCAGAACAACATTGTGAAGTGGACAGACTCAGAAGAAAAACTGGAGCAAGAACCCAGAGACAGACAAACAGGGTAACATGCAAAAAAAAAAAAAAAAAAAAAAAAAAAAAAAAAAAAAAAAAAAAAACCACAAAAACATGAGATGGAGAATATGGTCTCCATCACCAAAATTTCAGTTTTTCATAAGGCAGTAGTCCTAAACCTAAACTTTATCTTTTCTTTTATCAACTTCATCCCTTCAATAACAGCATCTGAATTTGTCAGCTAAGAACCCTAGCCAGTATTACTGTGACTGAAAATCATCATTCACTTCCGTAAGTAATCCTGACTTCGTCATCTTAGCCACATTCATTTGGTAGCAGGTGGAGGGAAGTGGCCTGAAACACAGGTTGGATAAAACAAAGCAGTTCCTACAGTTCTCATAAGGCAATAAAAAAATACCTAACCTGAGTCAGGCAGAATACACGGAATAGCAGAGTGGAGAGATCTGTGCAGGATTAGCGGAAGTGAAACAATCAATCTCAAAGCATATCTTTACCTTTCTTGTTCTTCCCTTGATGACTCCTACATCCTTTCAAAACGAGTTAGGGCATGAAAAGCTTGAATCTCTTGACACCTTTTACCACACAGGATTAAGTGAACTGAAGGAATCGGTACTGACAGCGTGTTTTTTCTCACATCACGCTGCTCCCATCTGTATCGTTCTAGTGGCCAGTAAAATCAGCAGTTCTTCCCACTGATGCCTTTCAATTCCCCCCATATTTAAGGTAAGGTGGTTGAGAGGTTCAAAAAACAGTCATCGATGTGAGACAATTGTCAGAAGCAACATAACTATTTTGGCTTCTGTTCTCGTACAGTAACTTCTCTTAGCAGCAACAAATTTAGTCGTACAGTACCTTTAGCTATGGCTTAAGCACATTACTGAGTGCAACTGACCCCACACCAGAAACATATCTCTCTACACATGCACTTGTCTTTCCAGAGTTCCTGAGGCACCCACTCTCTTGATTTCAGGGAGTTCCGAGTATACATGTGGATGAGAAAAGAAAAGTGGTACTGAGAGACATGGTTCTTTCCATAGTGCTTTTGTTGATGTTCAACATGCTTGCTTTCTTTTCTGTAACATGTTCCACATTCCCTGATCCAAGCACAGTTCAAGCAGCGGAATGAGGAACACCAGTGGCATATGTTTTCACTGTTTTATTCTAGTCCTGACTGGAGCTCGCAGGCTAGGAAAGGTCCTTACTATGAGAACTGCCATTGCCAGCCATGGAGCTGCACAGGAAGACAGCATTAACAAAGCCTTCTAGTCTCTTACATCCTTGGTACCTTACCTCTTGCATTTGCTAAGTTTATCAACATATACAAAGCATTTAAACCCACCAGATGAATTCCCCAGTTCATGCACTCAAGATACAGCATCACAGAAAGAAACAGCTCGCAAGTCTTAAATATACTGCAAATCTTTCCTTCATAGAGGCAAACTGAGCTGCTGACCAGGATAGTTAAATTGACCACATTTCTCCCTCCAATGCTTCCTGTCTTGTGCAGAAACCTTGTAGCAGGTTACAGTCAAGGGAGAGCATAACTGGTAGTACCAGTTGGGTTTGAAGTACCCAAAGACACAGATTTACCCATTTTACTCTTCAGTTCTTGAATATTAACATCACAGGTACTCTGCTAAGGGAGAAATTCCACACAAGCAGTTGAAAAGCAACAACAGAAGTTTGTGTGAACAGACTTAAAGTCACAGGAACAGCTACTTAAAACTGTTATCATTTAAGCATATTACAGCTTAACTCAGTAACTCATACCCATATTACCAGAAGAATTCTTATCTCTAACTGCCCTAAATATTTAGTGATTTCATGACTAAATAATTATGTTTTGCCCATTCCAAACGTGGAGTAATCTGATTCTTCACAAAATCAGGATTTTTTAACAATGAAAACTTTCTAAAATTTAGGGAAAAACACTGGAAAAAAATCCGACATTTAGGAAGCCTCATCTTAATACTTCTGGTTTGTTCAACCAGTTAGATCCTCTGAGGTACATATTAAGGTCACATCCAGGTTCAAGGTTTGGCAAGCTTGTGACAAACAAAAATTTCAGAACCTAGTATAATTGATTTTAATGAAATAGATAAATAAACTGAGGATGAGCTTTCAATATATTTAAAAATAACCATAAAGAAGAACAATTTGACTCTTCTTTGCCCTCAGTAGGTATGACAAAACATTCCCCATAGCACTGTTTTTTTCACAACACAGTGAAAACTAACACAAGAACTTCTCCTACTGCTACAAGTCTCCCCACAGGTCTCAAATAGGGGTCTTAAATGGGAGAGAAAAAAAACCATAATGTACACCTCTCTCACAACTGATATCATATTCTTTTGCACAGCAGGAACCTAAATTAAATTCACAACACCAACTGTGATTCTTCCCTCTTTTAGGACCTGGATCTCTTCATGCTGTAGACTACTGCTTATGTCAGACCTCAGTAATCATTATCAAGACTGAGTCATATATGTTTGTTCCCTTTCAAGCTGACAATGGAAATAATTTCTTCCTTTAAAAGGGAGCTATTTTATCCAACAGCTCAGTGGCTTGGGCACACACTGATGTTGTGAAATGCACAAGCTGTACATCCACTCAAACCAGAAAGGATTCAAACCCACACATCCTACCTCTGAGGGCCATGACCCCCATCTCATGCTTTAGGAGGAAGGATAGTCTTAATTCTCCTTGAAGGGTTGCCTCTCTGTAAAGAGGAACCTGAGACTCACCAGACCAAAGAACTGCTATTCTACAGCTCAAGTGAGGAGCTCACCTGATGGAGAAAAGAGCTGGACGACATTTAAACTCTCGTGATCATGTCAGAAAACAAATGATAATTAACAGTGTTTGTGCAAGCCTAAGAGTGAGGTAAGTATCAAGTTGTTATCTTCTGCTGATACAGATATACTGTGCAGCACATGCACATGTGAAACTTCTGGCATGTCTGAGAGTTGAACATGCAGGCATCGAAGCCCTAAGACCTTCTGGAGATCAGGGCTTCAGCTTTTTTGGTGGCTTCATTCCCATTCAGTGAAGAGGGAATAGCACTACATTCATAAAGACCACACGGAAAGATACTTTTAAAGACTGAGAAGCTTCCAGTTGTTACAATATTGCATATCATAAATGTTCTTAAATTAGTATTTCAGGGCAGCGTGGAGATTGGAAAAGAAGGTGGTTTCAAAAAAATAGTTAAAATTGGTTTCCATCACTGTAAATTCATGAAGCCTGCTGCTAACATCTGTCATTGGACCAAGTGCAATTTCATCATTAAAAAAACCCACATTATTTCCTCTCCTGTTTAGCTCTTTTACCGTCCTGGAAAAGTTACTGATCTGGAAGCTTCATCAGCCTCCCAGCCATCCAATCTGCAAATAAACCCCTTGTGACATGTCCAAATCTTTTCACAGTCCACCTCTTGAAAACAAATTGCAGGAGTAGCAAACCACAACTTGCATCAGCCTTGCAGAATTTGTAGCTATGGTATTTTTTGGCTGGTTGGTTTTTTAAAACTCCTAGCTTCTGAAGTAGTGATTATGTGACAGTGTCTGTTTCCTTCGTCAAATGAAATTGGAGGATCCATGCTCCTGGCTCTCTTTAAGGCTCAAAATAAAAAATTTAAAGAACTAAATTTCTGACTTCTCTCACCCAGTCTTATTATTTTAGGACACTATTTGTTGGGTATCATTTTGTGCCAGGTACTGTGCACCATATGGAAAAAGAGTGTCCTTTCTCCACACTACCTATGTGCTAAACAGAAAAAAAGAGAAAGGACCATGGGGAGAGAGGAATAATTGATGACAAAAGACTCAGTGACTTATAGCTGTAACTACCAAGTATATCACTGACTGAGGCTCAACACTGTTCCAAGACTATGCTTACCACCTTCTTAGAAATTATTTAAGTTATACTAAGTATTACCAAAAAGAAATAGCTATTAGAATTTATTACCTGAACACAGAAATGGATTTTAGCATTACTCAAGATCATGAAAACCAAAACCACATCCTTGACAATAAGAGCCAATGACCATCAGCAATATCCAGCTGAACTTACCTAGGAGAGCTGGACACTTTGTTAGTCAAGCCCTGTGTGAAAAGCCTTATAATTTCCAGTAACTAGCTTTGAATAATTGAGATAGTAGTAGCATTTTACTGAAATCCAGCTTACTGAACTCCCCAAAAAGTGCTAACCTGATTGACCATAAGGCTTATTTTGCCTTCCTTTTTTTTTTTTTTTTTTGCTAAGAAATGCACACATCAGTATTCCCAACAAAACAACCTACTAGAGGCACCTAGAAAGCAAACGTACACACATAAACAATAGTTTACTACCACATATCTAAAGTCTATGATTCCTACTGTAAGGATAACAACCGGACAAGATTGCATGTGGTTATACATATTTACAGAATAAAATACTTTCAAAGGATTAGTTTAAAATCTGCAGGACACAAATACCAAATTACCGCAGTGTGAAACTGAAATTTAGCAAAACTTGTTTAAAACATTTTTTATATTAAACAGATTCCACTGGAGCTGAAAATAAGGGTGTAATCAACCCATTTAATTTTGCCCATTTAAATGCTAATAGAAAAGTTTACTAATACATACATATAATGTATAAGTTTTCATCTGTGATGAACAGCATTTCAGTTATAGCCTTTACTCATCAAAACCCACAAGGAACTTGAAATCATACACCTGAGGACCTGAAAAGCGAAAGAAGAGTGACTAAAGCATCAAATGATGTAGTTATCATCTGGTCTGCAGTCCTCGATCGTAAGGATGAAAAAAACACATCAACAAAAAACTCCAGCAACTCTGCCTCACCCAGCAAGGAACCCACGAAGATGACAATCTGCACGGTGGTGGTGAAGTGCCGGTAGCTCTGCTCCTCGCCGCGCTCCTCGCTCTCCACGGCCTCGCTGACGTTCCCGCCCTGCCACACCATCTGCCCGGCCGAGGCGTTCCTCATCTCCAGAGCTCTGGTGACAGCCTGGTACGGGGCACGGTCGCTTTCATTCCTCAATATCCAGCTTTTGTCGTACCCCATGGCGGGAGTTCCTGCCCTCTTTGCTACCACCTAATAACCACAGGTTGTTGAGCCCTTGCCTTTAGCGAGTAAATGGAGCCCACAGGCAAAAAGGCGCTTCTGAGGATACAGCCCCGACTCTCGGAGGCATCTTCACCACATTCCTGCGTCCCGGGAAGCAGGGCCGGCTGTCCGCGTTTCCACCTTGTAAATCATGATAGCCAGGGAAGGAAAACAGAAAACAAGCCAAGCTTCTCCTTGCAATCAGCTCTCCCATATTTCTTGCTTCACACCGCCACAGGTCTCCTCAGCATGTTTTACTGCAAAAAGCAAGAGTGAGGGAATCACAGTGCACAGAATCACAGCCCGCACCGCGGCTCATCCTCCCAACTCCGCCGAGGGTCGCGGCGCGCCCGTCGCGCACCAGGGCTCACTGCACACAAAAACTGGTCTGGAAAAGTTAAGTGACCACAAGCCCTCTCTCCCCACTCCACTCTCAGTGTTGGCGCTGCCTTTCCTCACAGCCCTGAGAGAGGAAAGAGATGTTTTTTCCCCATGGCTCATCTGCTCCCGCTTTCTGCTCCTGCTCGCTCCTCCCGCGATGAAGGCACAGCTCCCCCCCTCGCCTCCCTTCTGGCTCTGCGCGGCGCTGGTCGCCGCAAGGACCCTTACACAGCGACCAAAGAGGTCAGTGAACGCTCAGTGGGTTCCACTGCGCTCCAGCCATTTCTCGGGGAAAATTAATTTGGTTTTAAATCCCAAGGCGGGGGGCGCTCGAGCCTCCAGTGAACCGAGAGGGCTCCGTACGATCCCTGCTCGCCCCGCTCTGAGCGCACCCCGCACGGTGCGCACCCCGCCAGCGCGCCTGGCGGCGACACCCCGCTCGTTCGTGCGCCAACATCCCGGCCTGGGCGCCGAGACGCTGCGCCTCTGCTACCCGCGACCCCGCCAGCCCACAGTGCTGGCTGCCGCCAAGCCCCGCCGCGATCCCTCGGGAGGCGGCGGGCGGGACTGGCGGCGGCAGGAACCGCCACGCTCCAGAGGGGCGGGCGCTCCGCCGTCACGTGCCTGCCGCGCACGGCGGCGCCGCCATTTCGCTCGGTAGCTGGGAGCGTTTCTAAATCCGTGTTTTAAAACAGGTCCGTAATTCTGAGGACAGGATTTCAAAAGGCAGTGCTGGATTCTAGTGTTGTTTGTTAGAATAGATATTTTTAATATATAATTTGCCAGTAAAGCTCCTCAATAAATGTAAAAGTTTGGGCTTTGACCGTGCAAAAGTTGTGCATCCATATAGCGGGTGCACGTTTGCCTTTAATTTGAACATCTTGGGAGGATGACTAGTTAAAAATCAAGACAAAAAAGTTTTTTCAGCCACTGGCCAGCCTGTCTGGAAATGCTCCAGGAAGAGGAGCTACCCATGAGCACGGTCCATGCACAGCAAGGCTCCCTCAAGGACCCCACACCCGCGAGATGTATTTCAGTGGCACACGTCCTGTCACCCGTGATGGGAACTTGGGTGACACAGGACAGAGCTGGATGCTGTACCATGGGTTCCAATATGTTTGCTGACCACAGGGATAGGAGACTGCCACCACCCCATTCCACCACAGGTCCTGGAGGCTGTTGGCCAAACCTCAGCTTGCACCTCTGTGTATTTGGCTCCTGCCCGTTGCAGCTTCCACTCATTCCTCTGTGAGCATGAGTCTCCCAGCTCATTGCTCCAGCCTTTTTTCCAGTAATTGATGTCTCTTACTCACTCCCAGTGTTGCCCCAGGCTCAACCACCATCTTACCCTTTTCTCTCACCCCAACTCATTCACCCTGTCCAACCAGTCCCACTTTTTTCTTGCTCTCCCCAGGCAATAATCAGCAGCTTCCACCATGCTTTTCCCTCATCTTTTCTTTCCTTAGACACCCAAATGGGCTTCTTCCTCCTTTAGGACACATTCTTGTCCCCAATTTTGGTAATCAGAGCCTGACTTCCATCCCTTCACCTCCCAGCCACCTGCAAGGCCCTTTTCCTCATACAAAGCCATCCCTTTCTCCAGCTCCTCCCTCAGTATGGGATGATGACTAAGGAACCAGGCAATGGCTAATGCTTACGATCTACAGCCTACATTGTGTACCCTCTCTGTTGTTGTTGCATAGATCTGCATAGTCGACATTAAGGAAGGATGACTTGGCTAAAGGAAAAGGTCCTGTGAAGATAGGGTAGTCCCAGTTTGACTGGCAAATGGAACAGAAGTAAGTTGTATGACCAGAACTTTGAAGGACACCATGGCCAGAAAAGAAATGTTTGCCTGGATTAAGGGTCATTTAAATATTAAAATACACCTGTATATGCTGATAAATGTAATTAAGTGCATGCTACCACATAAATGACCGTATTACTCAATTCTCCACTTAGCTCATGCTATATGTAACATAGCCAGAAGGGGACTAGATTGTTATTAGATTGTGTAAGGAGGGCAGACATTTCACCTGTTAGGAGAAAGACCCTGGAGACAGCCGACAAGCTATTCTGCGCTCCTTCCTCCCAACTGGGGATGCTGTCTTGATAAGCATGAATATTATTATCACCCAGATTAACACAACATTATTGGAGATCTATTATGGCTACTGCATTTATTAGTGGCAATTCCTACTCTGTATTTTTGTTGCTTCAAAAAACGGCACTATTTGTGCTTGTGGAAGTTTCTACTGAACACAGCCAAACGTATAATGACAAATTAGTTATAATGAGAATAAGCCCAGCTGCACCCAGCCCCTCTGATTTCTGGGGACCAGACAGAATGCAAGAGGGTTTATTTTGAGCCAAATTTCTTGCTCTTAACACTCGGGACCCTTCCCCTCTCTCCTGCATTTCTCCTAGGAAGACTGATCTCCCCTCACTGTGCCCATGGGGGAAGTGAAAACACGTTCTCACACTCACTTCATTAAATTTTAATAGCTAGAATTAAATTTTAATGTTACGACACACAATAGTTTTAATCATTTTGTCTTAAATTTTGGAAGGAAAGCTTCTGTCCAGATGCAGTCTGGCACATCCTTAGGGCAGGTGGATGTTCATTGTATTCCACTAAATCTATGGGGAGCATGTGAATATTCCACTCAGTAATGTAATTCGATTCAGTTTATGCAGTTTTCACAAGGTGAGCTAGCAAAACCACAGCACTGAAAAAGGTTGTTTCTTCCCCTTCATTCATCAAATTTTCACACTTCTGCTGGGGTTCAAGACTTTTTAAAATAAATTCTCCGAATGTTTTCATGATTATGTTATTTTACTCTGGCTTTCTTCTTGGAAACAATGAATCATTATAGAAGAAATTAAGAGGAAAAAAAATAGCCTGAGGTAGACATCTGGTCTAGAACATTTCATCCCAAACCCTTAAAAATTTTCCAAGTCACAAAGAGTGGGAACAATTAGGCAGCTTTAACTGCATAATGTTGCCCGACCCACTCACTGCTATACAGTGTAAAACAGGAGAAGTTTCCCAGGTGCTGCTGGGCTGTGTGCCCCACACTATGTGCTTAGGAAGCATAAACCCACAATTTCTGTTAAAAGAAATTTTACTTGCATTTCTTAATTACTTACTGCATCACATCTTCTAATTGGTCATTCTTGCTGTGTCTCTGTAAGAGAAAAGATGAATCTGTGCCCTAGAAACTTTTATTTCTTGTCTTTAACACAGGGAAACAAATATTTATACAAATAGTTATACAAATATTTATACAAAATATACAAATATTTATACAAAAATTTATACAAACTGATAGATAAGCATACCCAACTGCATCAGAGCAAACTCCAGTGGTCAGTTACAGTGCCCCAGGGCACATCTGACTGAGCAAAAGGATATCTCTCTTGCTGCTAGATAAAGACTACACAGCTTTGGTCATGCATTTCCCACAAAAAAACAGATGAGGCAGAAAGACCTTGCCACAAAAGACACATTCCAGGAGTGGTAAGGAACAGAGAACAGCATCACAACAGTGATACAATTTAATACTTGGCTTTGGTTAGATACTAATGAGCATTATTTAAGTGCGACTGAAAGATAAACATATACATGGAACAAGCTTTCAATTTCAGAAGGAAAATTGAGGGCTATAGAAACTGTTCATTAGCATAAGTCCCTCCTTAAGTGGTGTCATCCGTTTATATATCTGGGTGCATGGTAGCAAGCTGCAGACTACTGTAACATTTTTCTTTGCCTGGGGATTACTCACCTAGTCGATAAGCTTGTATGTATGAATTTACTTCGGGTTTCTTTATTAAGATCCCAAAACTTACTGGAGGGTACATCCTGTGGCAGTCCTGTTCAGTAGTTACTACAAGAAGTGACCAAAGAAAAGCACGTTTTCTTCTCTGGTTACCACTGCTCTCCTGACAACCTCCAGCTGCCTATCTCTGGCAAGTTCCACCAAGGAGACCCAGGGGCTGAGGGGTGTTCTTCGGGTCTGGCCTCACTTTGTGTTTGCAGTTTAAGTAGCTTCTTGTCCTCCACGTGCAGTCGTCAGTGGAAACATTTTCATGGTTTTTACAGGAATTTATATCCTGCCTCAGATCTACATTAAATCCATTCTGAATTTTGTGGTTACCTTTCCATTTCGCAAATCTTTCTCAAGGTCTGTTAAAAAAATCTGCACAGTAACTAGTCGTATTTGCTGCGTATCCTTGTATTGTAGGTATAACTTGAGGCTTATCATGGGGGGTGTCCAGGCTGCACATTAGGAAAAGGTTCTTCACCCAGAGAGTCACTGGAACAGGCTCCCCAGGGAAGCGGTCCCAGGGTTTGGACAGCGCTCTTAGTCACAGTTTAGTTTCAGCTAGTCCTGTGAGGGCCTCGGTAATCCTTGTAAATCCCTTCCAACTCAGATATTCCTAGTGGGCGAACCACCGACCCCAGAGGTGCCCCCCCCGGCCCGGCTCCTCCTCCTCCCGGCCCGCGGGGGCGGTGCTGGGGCCGCGCTCCGGCACCACTCGCAGGGGCAGCGTGGCGGTGCCGCCCGCCATGGCCGCCGCCCGCCCCCGGCGGGGCAGCTGACATGGCCCGGGCCAGCGGCGCGCAGCACATGCCCGCGGAGACTGCCGGAGAGCCGCCGGAGAGCTACCAGCTGCGGCAGGAGAACGAGCTCCAGGTGCTGGAGTCCATCTACGGGCAGGACTTCCAGGATCTGCGGCAGAGCCAGGCCTGGAAGGTAGTGAGCGGGGCCCGCACGGTGCGGATGCTGCGGGGGGCGGAGCGGGAGCAGGGCCGGCGGCGGGGACGCGGCTGGCGCTGCCCCGGTGCTGCCGGTCCATGTCTGCCTTGAGGGGCGCGTCTCGCCTCCCTCTAGCCCTGCAAGGGATCGCCCTTCCGATTAGTCCTCAAGATAGAAGTGCTCTCACTATATGCAGTGCTGTGTTTATAAATTGCATTTTAACTAATTGTTAGGCTTTAAAAAAATGGCCTCTTAATTCATTGCTTAACCGGCTAATCACATACCTGCTTAATTAATTAATCGCATCGATACAGATGGTGATCTTTGCACAGTTATTATATGCTGTGGTTTTCTCAAACTGTGGCTGTTTCCATGATAACTTAATACTTCAGCTTTCACTTTTATAGGTTTGGGGTTTTTTAGTTACACCTAGTTAATGCTCAGGTCTAGTACTCGCTACTCTCTTGCATTTAACTTTCGTGTCTACAACATCTAATTGATGGGGTTTTTTTAACTACGCTTTTGGCGCTGTTTTCCTGGACCTGGAGATACCGATCACTCTTCTGTTCTCCAAGTTCACTTCTGCTGTCGTTTCTTTTTACATTCTTTTGTCTTCAGTTTCTACAAAATATATCATAGCCTCTGCTGTGTTTTTTTTCTGCCGTAGATCTGAACTTAAAATTTTTGCAGCAACTTTGTAACTTTTTTCTTTTCTCGTGGAGTTTGGTGAGAACACTCGTAATAATTTGTAGGGTTTTCAGAAGTGTTGCAAACCTCACTCCCTATTAAAAGTTCTACCTGACATGCTCTTGACTTGACCTGTTCTCTTGCTTGCTGGAAATGCAAATAGAAAATAGAGGGGATAGTTACCATCTGTTTCCTTATTTGTTTTTCCATGTAGTCTTGCTTCCCTATCAGTTTTTCATGTTACTAAGGTATGGGTTGTTTTTTTGGGGTTTTTTGTGTTTGTTTGGGTTTTTGTTTTGTTTTTTAAGTTCTAATTAAAAAGAAAGAAGTTTAGAATGTTTATATGGACATATTTTACTTTACTCTGATTTCAAGTAGGTGATTTGAACAGGCTGGGGAGGGGCGAAGGCAATACTTATTATAATTCTGGTTTATGTCTAACCCCAAAATATAACTAGAAAAAAACTACTGTCCATTTGTTTGCCCACATAAAGTGTATATCAGTGTGAAGTCTGTTGCCATGCCAGAAAATAATGATTGATGTTAGTGATCTAAACCAGAAAGAAACAATTTGGTTTTTTTAATAAATTTAATTTATGTTATTCCCTAAATAACCTGTATTTATTTAATTTTTTTCCTCCTGCTGTTCCACAGTAAGCAGAATACAAGAGTTTTGTTTTAGAACCTCCTTTTTACTGAGTCTGAATAATCTTTGTAATAACTGTAACTACATTGCTGAAGAAGTTGCAAAAATATTCTGGATAAACTGTGGTAATCAGTGGACCAGTTCACTGTCACTGATCAATATCACTGCATTAACATACTTTTTTCATTATTTGGATGGTGTAACCTGTATCCTACTATACTATATGTTGAGAGTTGAATGTTTTCATTGCAACAAAACCTTTTCAATCTGAAGTTTTTGTTTTGCATTTTAGGTGCGACAGCCTCCTGAAATTAGTTTAGTTCTGCGTCCTCAGGGATTGACTGGTGCTAATGAAGTGTATGCCAAAGTTGACCTGTGGGTCAAGTGTCCACATACTTACCCTGATACGTGAGTGAACATTAAAATATAACTTTTTTTTTCTCTGTTCTCCATAGTAAAGTGTAAGTTGAAAAAATACGTAGTTTTATTCTTCACTCTTACTCTGACTTTCTGCATGTCAGTATTTATTAAACCTGTAGTACTTTATAGTATGCAACTCTAAACTTTGACCCCTGAATTGGATGTAGTTTTTTGTGCAATGGAGAATAATAGTGTCAGTGCAAGACTGCAGCCCCAGTTCATAGCTTGCAAATACATGAACACATGTTCATGTGCTGGTATCTTAGTGCCTTTTTTAAACTTCAACTTGTGACTCTTTCAGCTGACACAAACTGAATCTCCTTTTTTAAAGCCATCTGCTCTCTTAGTTGTATCTGCTGTCCTGTTTTCTGCTGGATTAGTCTTCTTTTGGAAGAGTCCTCCATAGAGAATGTGGAAGGAATTGCAGGTGGCAGCCTCCCCCAGCATTTTGGGTTGGCAAGTGATTTCTGGGTTAAGTGTTGCTCTGTGCCCAGTTTTCTTCTGTCCTTATGCCACAGATAGTGTCCAAAGCATAACTCCCTTCAGTCCATCCATTTCTGCTGTGGCATGCATGGTGTACAAGGAAAGTGCTAGTCTTTGCTAAGTGATAGCTCAGTTATACCCTATAACAAGAACATAACAGCTAAGATAGCATATCTACAGACATTTTGCTTGTACACTTTATTTTAAGTATTTTTTTAAGTTTAGCTGATATTTATTTATTGCATGTTTCTTGAGATTTGTGTAAGCTGTATAGTGGTGATAAATTTTAAACATCTGTTATGCTAGTAATATTTCAAAAGGCTTGTTAAGTAAATTACTGGTGAAGAGCTGAATGATAAGGTTCTGCAGGGTTTCTTTGGTAGTTCTGCTGTTAAGTGTAACTGGCAGGTAATCTGCAACCAGAAAATTTGATGGTAGAGAATATGAATCAGTATTTCTGGCTTTATATTGTATATGTAACATTTATATTCTGTTATTTGAGCACTAATGGCCAAGTGACTACAAACTCCATTTCTTTTCCCTCACACACTGTTTTTATCAGTATTCTGTTGCTTGCTCCACTCAGTTTTTCTAATGAGGACTTTTGTGTGTTTTGTTGCTGTCCCTCAGAGTTCCTGAAATACAATTGAAAAATTCAAAAGGCTTGTCAAATGAGAAAATAAATGAACTAAAATCCAGATTAGCTGAACTGGCAAAACAGTGCCGTGGAGAGGTAAGAGCTTTTCATTTCCTTGAGAAATATACTCTGAACCAAATAGTTCTAAAAATGTATGGTATGATATAGTGGAATACATTCACATTGGAAGTATAAGTTGCATTGCTCTTAAGGAGGGACTGTCTTTCTTAAGAATGTTTCTAATTAATGAAAGTTGAAACTGTGGATGCTCTTAAAATCCAGTACCTGTGTAAATGATGCAAGCTTTATCTCTGTTCAAACGTTCATGTTATGAGGGTTTAGAGGTTCTGAGTTATTTCACAGTATGAGAAGCAATACTAACTCTAAAACTAAGAGCTTTCTGCACTTTTCAAGTTAATTTGATTATTGTAAGAGGCCATACCTGTTTAAGCAAATAGCAGTTCCCCGGGGAGTTTTTTGAATGTGGTCTTGTTCATCTAGTGTTGAGCTGAAGAGCAAGAGACCTTTCTTCTAACACAAGCTCAACACTTGAGTTCTCTGTCTATAGCACAGTCACTCCATGCCATTGTGCCTTTTTTTCTGCTTTGTTTAGGAATAGCAATATTTGAGTTTCTCCTGAATTGGATAAGAAGAGAAACATGAAGCTTAGACCTTGTTTCTGTTTTAAGGGATTTTATAAGTCCTCAGATATGTTTAATATTTAAAATACCTTTCCATTCTTATTGAGGCTGAAATGTTTCAAAGAATTACTAGCAGAGAATTCTTAGTGAAAGCAGTGTTTATGGTGTGTTTCTTATGGCTGTTTGGAAATGTTGCAGGTAAACTTATTTGAATAGCCCCATCTGACTTTTTAAAAGTGAGAAATATGCAGCAGTGGATGTTACATGCTGAAATGGGATACTGTTTTACTATCAGTTTCCTAAGCCTGTCAACTTTAGAGATTTGGCTAGGGCTACCTATCATTCAGTCTTGCCATAACAAATCTGTTTTCATTTGAATACTACTGTTTTGATTACCAATTTTTCTGGAGATACTTTGAAATGAACTGTTTTAGCCAGGTACTGTTTTGTTCATTCTGTTCAATAACCAAGAATTTTCTGAAATTTTTCAGTGTCTTTGGAAATTGCTGCCGAATTGCTTTTTTGAGTGGGTGTTATTTGGCTATGTGATGTACTTCTTTCAGGTGATGATATTTGAACTTGCCGACCATGTACAGTCTTTCCTCAGTGAGTATAATAAACCACCTTCCAAGTCTTTCCATGAAGAAATGCTAAAAAATCATCAAAAAGAACAAGAAAGATTAGCTCAGGAGGAATTGCGTAGGGCACAAGAAGTTAAGAGAAGAGAGGAACAGGAGGTAAGAGAAATCAAAGTATGAATAACTCTATATTCTTAACGTAATCATGATTTGAAAATCATTCTGCATAGTGGTGTGTTTTAGTGAATTATTAACTTGTCAGACCTGTCAGTATGAGTTGATCAATATGCACTGTATGAACTATCTATTGGTCTAATTGTAATATTTTAATGATGTGGTTTTAACCCTGAGAAATATTTATGCCTTAAACAAACCTAAATGTTGATTCCTGATCCTGTGAAAATCACTTATCTAGAGGACCTTAAAAGTTAGCTTACACTTGGGTATATAGTAAGTGCATTTCATTTTAACTAGGAAGTATTAGCCAGGCAGACAGGTAATCATACCTTCTTTCACCCACTGGGTAACTGCAGTGTTCACTATGACAGGTGTCTCTAGAGAGAAATAAATTTAATCTAAAGAGACCTGAGACCACCTATATCCTTCATTAGAAATGAGGTCTCATAGAGGCTAGTAGTGTGGAGTCTCCACACTATGAGGAATATGGATAGAATAGCTCTGGTTTTGTTTTAGTTTATCCCTCTGTCTTTTCTGTGTGTGGAACTTTATTGTTGGGTCTGGCAGAAGTCATTTGCCTACAATTCCATTCTCCTATGTCATATATATACTGTTAACTTCCTTAGGAGAGCTATTTTGACTGCTCTTTTTTTATTCTTGTGACATCCACAAGTCCTCTTTAATACTTTTGAAAAATCAGCATCACAGCTCTTTCTTTTAAGCCAGGGTACGATTTTAGCCGTTGCATTGTGTGTACTGTTGCATCTTTAACAACACCAGAATTCATTTCAGCAACGTGAAATCCTTAATGAGATTCAAAGAAGGGAGGAAGAGAAAAGAGAAGAAAGAAAAAAGAAGGAGATTGCCAAACAGGTATTCTTTCTAAGCAGGTGTGCAAAAAAAACATTGCAATAAGCTCTTCCTAGAGCTCTAGCATATGCTTGTAAAAATTTGAGAGACTTACATGACTAAATTTTCCTGGACATCTTTTCTCATCCAGTGCTCTTAATAGATCTAAGTTAAAATACGTTCTTGATGATACGGGTTTTATTTGTAGAATATAATAGCATCTTAAGTGTACCAAGATATTTTCAAACACACATAGAAAAAAGTTGGTATGTTAATGATTCCAGTTTCTTTACATTCTTGCTCATGGGCAATGCTGAAAGGTACCTTCTGAAATCTCAACACTTTTTCCGTGTCCTCATGTATACATTTATTATGAAAACATTACTTTTGTGATCTGGGTGACTTCATAGAATGATAATTATAACTTATGTATTTTGAAGATAGGAGTGATTTCTGTACTTAATTTGGTGTCTTTCCTGATTTACAGGAACGTTTGGAAACAACTGCTCTGACAAATCAAGAAAATTCTCGCAGTAGAGACACTGCAGGGTATAAAGTTGCTTCACGCTTAAATGGGAGCTGTTTGGAACATGGGGTGAATAGTAAACACCGACCGAATTCAACTGGACGCTCAAAGTATGCGTGTTTGTTGTTGTTGATTTTTGGTTTTCTGTGGTTTTGTTTGGGTTTTTTTTTTTTGCAAACATTAAATTTCAAAGTGAAATTTGAAGGCAAGGGAATAGTGTGTCATGTTCATCTGTTCGTTTTGGTCTCTTCCTCCCCCTCCTCCCCCTTCATTTGGCATGGTTTAACTAATTCATGTGCTCTAGATAACTTTGGACCTTTCTGATTTTTAAGGTCTGTATTCAACTCCTGGCTTTAAATATTGAGACCCAGTGCAGCAGATGTTGCTGCTAAAATACTGGATTTCTAATCAGACACGTATTTTTGCACTAACTCAGTATCTTTGAAGTTAATGGATATTATTGTTGGATGAAAAAGTCTCTGAAAGCTAATTCTCTTGCAGAATTAATATATTTAGGGACTAGGGCATGTGAACAATACTCTCTTTTTGAGTTGGAGAAAAATGTTCTGTTCACACTGCAGACGAGAACGACAGCTTTCTGTTAGTAATAATGAAGAATCCCCTGGAAACCATGAAGTTTTGAACTTCAGCACAAGTGGTTCTGGACAACTTACTGTCCATAAAGGAAAATGTCTAGGTAAGCAAAATTACAATTGTAGCTTGAAATGCTGGTTTTGAGACTGCCTGTTTTGATTTTGTTGGGTGGTTTCTGTGAATGAAACTTCCCTGTCCGACCATCCAGGAGGCGCTCTGGCCGTCACTCTCACACAATCTGGGCTGGGACTGAAGTGCCTTTGCAGCTACACAGCAACACTCACACAGTCAGACCAGCTTTCCCTACTGGCTCCATCCCAGATTTCCCGTGGCAGAGTCTCAGATGTCATGATCCTCAGAATAATTTAATCATGGTGTAATAACTAAATAACAAGACTGACAGCTAGAGCCTGTGCCTCCAAGGAAGGACCCCAAACAAAGGAACCCCTGGGTTTTTATACCCTCACAGTCCAAGCGTGGGAAAGTCTGGGGGTCTCGGCTCCTGCTGTCTCTGAGTGGGGTCCATGGCTGGCCCACAGATCCCTGTGCCCTTTTACAGGCAAAGGGTCAGCAGGTCACAACTTCTTGCCTCAGGCTTGGGCTCCTGCTCCCCAGAGCTCAACCTGCAACTCCACTGCAGCTGCACATCCAGCTACCTGCACTGAATGTATTCTTTAACAGTTTGCTTTGTTTGTTAACTTAAGCAATATTAACGGGTACAAGCAGCAAGGATAGAGTACTGTAGTGGATTGTGATATGTCACAATAAGAATGGGAGAGAGTAATAGGAGAAGTTAATTTGTGGTAAATGTTTCGCATTTTTCTAGACTATTTTAAATAAAAACTTGCTTCTTCAGATACAATTGCATAACTGAATAGCCATAAAAAAAAAATCAAACTACCCTCTTAATGTTTTATATTCTTGGCATAACTAAATTAATACTGAAAACTATTTACCTTTAAATTTAAATAGCTAGCTTGTCAGATATACATGGCAACCAAGCAAGAAGTCACACATTAGCTCTCAGTAGCATGTGAAAGTGCTGATAAGCACAGGGTGGAAGGGCAAACTTACTCTCCTTCCATCGCTGCTGATAACAATGGCATAAAAGCAGCGGGTTTAGCAAAAACAGACTTTCAGAGCTGAAAGGCCTCCGTGAAGGGCCCACACGAATGGACCATCAAATGTTCTCTTTGTTTTCAACATAGCACTTCCTCAGTGGAGGGATGAACAGCCTGAAGGTCTGTGAAGCAAGGAGAATTTTATTTTGCAGTTCGAAGATGAACAGTTCTGTTATTGTGTGTAGAGTTTGGCATTTGCAAATCAGGAAGATTGTTCATATCGTAAAACTTGGAATTCTTTAAAATGTGCAACAGTTTTTGCCCATGTAGTACAGCTTTCATTTGAGTACTGCTGCATAGCATTCAGTCTCATCAGACTTGATATTTGCCATACCTACTATGTAGATATGAGTCTTGTTTAGTTGTAAGTAGGTTTATATTTCTGAACTTTGGAAAACAGGCTTACTGGTGTTTATTTAGCATTTATTTAGCAGGAGCTCTTGTCGAGTCCTCAGAAACAAAAGAAGCCATGTTCCTCTTCTCTCCCTTTCTATACAGGCAGGGATGAACAGCTTGGTAAATCAGTCTACAATGCCTTGGAAATTCGCAGTGGAGACTTTGTTTTAATATATGAGTGGGTTCTGCACTGGCAAAAAAAGATGGGAAGATTTCTTACAACGCATGAAATGGAAAAGATTGAGAAGTCTAAGAAACAGGTGATGTTTTGCATTTGGCTTAATAAAGATTAGGTGAGGCTCAGTGGTTTTCTTGAGGCTGCTAGTCTATATTAAACTTGAGAGGGTGGTAATGAGCTTTAAAATGCTGATATTTAGAGTATTTGTATGAACAAAGATGAATATATGGGGTATTCAGGAGTTCCTTTACAATAATATAAATGCAAGAAAGTGTGTTTGCAAGTATGCATAAATAATAAAATATTAAAATTCTGAAGAAAGAGGGAATCAAGCTTACCTGTCAGAAATCGACGCTGTACCTTCCCCTTGTGTACAATACTGCATTTTTAGAAAAGTATGAGGGTGTTATATATTTTGTACGTATTTTTTATATGTAATATATTTTAGTAGTGTTGTGTTCACAAGATATGACACAATGCATGTTATGTTGTGTTTCTCTACCAGCTTCAGGGTGCAGAAACAGAGTTCAACTCACTGACGAAGCTAAGTCACCCAAACATAGTACATTATAAATGTATGAACCTTAAAGAACGGGACGATTCAATTGTGGTGGATATTTTAGTGGAGCACATAAGTGGTTGCAGCCTTTCTACATACTTGCACAAAGAGACTCCAGTTCCAGTTGAGCAGTTGCGCCATTATGTGACCCAGATCTTGTCAGCTCTTGACTACTTGCACAGTAATTCAGTAGTGCACAAAGTTCTTTGTGCTTCCAGTGTCCTGGTAGATGCTGAAGGCAACATCAAGGTGACAGACTACAGCATTTCCAAGCGCTTAGCTGATATCTGCAAAGCAGATGTTTTTGAGCAAACCAAAGTTCGTTTTAGTGAGGATGGTCTTCCCAACAAACCTGGGAAAAAAGGAGATGTATGGCGTCTGGGCTTGCTTCTGCTTTCACTCAGCCAGGGCCAAGTAACCAAGGAATTTCCAGTTGCTGTTCCTACCAATTTACCTGCTGACTTCCAAGACTTTCTGGGAAAGTATGTTTTTTTTCATTCATGTATTTTTTGTCCTTTTTTGTTTGTTTGTTTAAAGATTTGAACAGTTTTTTTAAAGAACAACTAAGTCCTCCTGTGTTGCTAGTTGTAGTTTTTAGAGAAGAGGTGATTGCTGTCTCATGGCTCAGGCTGCTAATCTGTTTTTGGGAGAGTGTCTGGTGCTCTCTTTTTCTCTGCTCTGCCACCATGTGTCACTGTGCATAAGTCATTTAGTCTGTCTTTGCTTCTTATTCCCATCTGAATAATACAGGTGATAATTTCTTAACTATAAAGAGAAGTCTTTGAACATTTACTCCTGATATAAAATAGTTCTGTCCTTGGTTTACCAACAGGTGTGTTTGCTTGGAAGATAAAGAAAGATGGACTCCTCAGCAGTTGTTACAACATAGTTTTATAAACATTCCGCGAATAAAAATACCTGTAGCTGAAGAAGATCTAGATGGTAAGGACCTTAGTTCTTCCCATATTCTGCTAAGTGGCTACATGCCTTCAGTAACAGACAAATTGAGCTGTGCTACAGCTTCACAAGGCTGCACGAGTGTGTTACATTAACTAACTTAAAAGCTGGTGTGATCTTTTGAGTTCTCTATCCATGACTAACTGGGGTGGACTGACTACTGTTGTTTCTTCAGTAGAAGCCGCTCATGCTTTAACGAAACCTGTAGATTCATCCACATCCTGCATGGTGTAAATGTAGACCTAATTTTGTTCTTGGAAGATGGTGTTCCAGTGAGAGTTCTTTGCTTGTCATGTTCTTGTTAAAATCATTCCTTCGTCCAGCATAGCTTTAGCAATTAAAAACTGTATTAAGGTCTATGTTTGTACCAGAACTTAACTCTTCACAGTAGGGCAGTTCTGTATTTTAGGTTTTAGTTGCACTTGAAGTTTTTTAGGTTTTATCTCTTTCATGGTACTTATTTGACAGTCCCTCGTGGCTTATCCCCATATTACCAGGGTTGGTAACTTTGTCTTCATTACAGATTCAGCAGGTGTAGATTGCATCGAGACAGTTATACCCAGCAGTCAGATATCCAGTGCTTCATTCTTCACAGAAACACAGAGACAATTTTCACGCTACTACAATGAGTTTGAAGAGCTAAAATTACTTGGCAAAGGGGCTTTTGGAGCAGTCATCAAGGTATGGAATAAAAATTGTTTCCTCTAGAATCCTTTTTGGAGGTGTTTGTTTTCTTCTGAAGCAAAACAGTATATTCTGTCTTTGCATGGTTCTATTTATCTGCCGGTGTGCTGGCTCTGTGGTGTGGTTTTTATCTGAAATTGAATAGGCTGAAAAGTTTTGCAAGAAGTTCTGGGAATCTGCGGAGAAGCCTGTCAGAATGGGGAAGCTTGCATTTTAATTGTAGTCATTTTCCAGGTGGAAGGAAGATTTCCTGTTTTGTGAAATTATTCTACTTCTGGCTCTGCTTGGTAAGACATTTGTGAGCATTTGACTTTAGATTAATTTGTATTTTGCAGGTAAGAAATAAGCTTGATGGTTGCTATTATGCTGTGAAACGTATTCGTGTAAACCCTACCAGCAAGCAATTCCGGAGGATTAAGGGAGAAGTAACGTTACTTTCCCGCTTGAACCATGAGAATATTGTGAGGTATTACAATGCTTGGATAGAGAAACATGGAAGTCCTGTTCCCACTGTGTCATCATCTGAAACAACCGAAGAGAGAAGAATGCCCCCCAAAGCTGGTCTCTTCATGCTTACCACTGAGGAGACAAATGATGTGGAAACTAATGCTCCTCCTCCAGTTTTGACAAGTTCAGTTGAGTGGAGTACTTCATGTGAAAGATCCTCTAGCAACAAATTCAGTGGAGCTGATCAGGAGTCCAGTGATGACGACGATGACGGTGATGGCGTGTTCTCGCATTCATTTTTGTAAGTAGGCTTCAGTATAGGCACTGTGAGGGAATGAACAGAGTTCATTTTCCAAGTTTGTGGTTTTTACCATTCTTGTGTCTTTTCTCAGAAGTAGTTCACTGCATTTTTATTCTGTTCCCTTGTTCAAAAACAGTGTAGTTGCCAGCAGTCAAGTAGCCAGGAAGAGGAAAATTTATCAGTCTATGAGGAAAATTTTGGTTTAGGCTTCATGAAGTTTATTATTTGTACCAGAATGCATGACTGTTTACCTTGTGTTAGACTGTCTTGTCCACCCTTAAGAGTAAGCATTTTTTTTAATAAACAATAACAGAAATATTACAAATCTTGAAAAATACTAAACTTGCCCTTTCTTTTTTGTTTTGGTTTTTACTAATGTATTCCATACCTTCCTCCATGTATGGTGTGACTCACAGTGATGAATTTTTTTTTTTTTTTTTTTTTTAAGGCAAGTAAGTACGGTTATCTCAGTTTTGCCTACTGCATATAGAAATTAAATTTTACTGATACAAATATGTACCTTCCCTTTTAGAGACTAGGCTGTCAAAGGAAGTATTGCTTTGCAAGCAGGATACTTTTCTGGGTATTGTTTTCTTTTGCTCTTTTGTTTAAGGCATCTAGTTCTTCAGCAGAAGCTTAGATTTTCTTTTTTTTCCACTCAAATAGTTTTCAGATTTCTTAGTAAATATTTCTTGGTATACAAAACTTCTGGGGTTTTTTTCTTTCTTTTTTTAACAGGCCAACTACAGATTCTGACAGTGAAATAATTTTTGATAATGAGGATGGAAACAGTAAAGGTCATTCCCCAGTAAGTATAAAGCTAATAAAAATTAAAAGATCACAAAATAGTCTTTGACAAACAAACAGCTTCGTTGGGAAGTTTTGTTTTGCTTGTATATATACACACCATATCAACATTGGTAATTGAGGGTGGGGGGTTGCACTATTTATCAAGCAAACTTTGTATCTTTTAGTTTCAATTTTTTTTTCTTTTTTTTAACATGACATAGATTTGAAATTTAGGTTTCATCCAGATCTTCTGGAATGCTTTGCCTCCAATGTCTAATGATGGCAAAAAGTTACTCATTTTCACTTTGAAAATGAGAGTTTAGTCACACCTGGGTTTCTAGTTTATTTAGAAACAGTGGCATTACAAAAATGTCATTATATTATTTTGCTACTTTTCAAACCTAGCCGTAGAAGGTGAGTTCTCATCAGTGTGTTCCAGCCGTTAAAAGATAGTAGTATGCATAATAAAAAACATCTGCACAGCTTCCTGTAGCTAACTGTTCTGTTGACTTTTATTGCAATAAAGAATGAAGAAGGCAATGAAAAGAACAGCCATGGAGGAGAAGACAGGAGGACACCTGTTGTTCAGACAGTGCATTACCTGTATATTCAGGTACAAATGTGGTTGTGTGTTCAGAAAAAATGCAAATTACTAAGTTAGATGTTGGGTTTGCAATAGACTGGTTTTCTAAAGGCTTGGCTGGTGGAAGGCACTGTGCAATGCACATGGCTTGCTATGCCTTCCAAGGCTCTATAGTTGTGCCTGGAGAAAGCAGTTTCATAGTGCCATAGTGGATCACAGGTTAACTGTTGTTGCTTCTGTACAAGTAAAAGCTGGCAGTTCCTGACTTAACCATAGAACAACCCAACCAGCCAATCTTTGAGACCATGACTTGCAAAGGACTAGTTTTCATTGTGCTTGTTGTTTGTTTAGAATATCCATCCCAATCTCCTAACACTGTAGCTGGTGTTACTCAGTTTGGTTATGGTGTTAATTCCCAATGTGGATTTGAAATATACTGTGTTGAATTTCAGAGGGGGAGTTGTCTTTCACAGGTATGAAAACTTCCTCATTCTTTTCAGTGGCACGGTGTTGTGTATGCACTGTATTTTAATACAAAACAGTAATCTGCAAAGCCATTGTATGGCTCTAACAGTGCACACAAAATGAAATTCTTGCAGGTTTGCAACTAAAGGCTTTACTGCTGCATCTCCTTTGTGTTAGGAGTTAGACTGTTTCTGGGAAAAGACAGTTATCATAGCTAACTGTTCTGTGGTGATGTGCAATTTTTATAATGCACTTAACGCTAGAGCTTGTCTGGAAGGAAGATACAATTATATGGAATTAGATTTTAATAGACTTGTTTGCACGTGTTGTATATATTCATAATATAAAGAGTTAAGATGCCAAGTTAAAAAAAAGCCAGAGGTTCTTTTGAGTTTGAGTTAAACACGCATTATGGCTTGGCTGTTTTCACCTCGTTAACATTTATGTTAGAGATTATGCTGCTCTGCAAGCTTATACCATTGTTCCAGAAAATGGAGTAGGACCCAAAAGTGGATGTATATTTTCTAGCTAAAAGACTGCTCTCAGGAAAATTCCAAACAGCTCCGTGCTTTGGGGATACTACTTGCTCCTGGACCATGGCAGTAAATATGCATACTGACGCAAGTTTCTGATAGTCTCTTCTCTTGACAAAACTGATCTTCCTTCCCTCTGTCCCCTATGTATGAAGATGGAGTATTGCGAAAAGAGCACATTAAGGGACACTATAGACCAAGGGTTATATGAAGACACCAGTCGGCTTTGGAGGCTTTTCCGAGAAATTTTGGATGGGTTAGCTTACATCCATGAAAAGGTTAGTAAATATGACAGTTATGAGCTATCCATAATGTCTGTGCTATGCCTCTGTCTCTGTGGGTTTCTTAATATTCAATTTGGGGCATTTATTAAGGTTTTTTTTCTTTGCCCTTTCTATTATTAATCTATTCTTGGGGTTTCAAGTATTTTATCTTAAACTTGAATTTTATAGTGAACCACTTTAGACTTTACCCTTTTGTCATAAAAATTTGTCCCTCTTTTAAAAACAGTTTGTTAGCTGGTACACTGAAAATGGTTCCTAGCTTCTGGGCTACAGACTACAATCTGTCTTCAAAATTATTCTTCAGTGATTTAATGCAGTAGACTTCTCAATGTAATAAAAGTATATAGTATGATTCTCCTGTCTATTATAAAGAGTTTTATTTTTAATTATGTTGATTGTTTAATATTCTCTGGGTCTTTTTTTACTGTCCTGCTGTAACAGGGAATGATCCACAGAGACTTGAAACCTGTGAACATCTTTTTAGATTCAGATGATCATGTGAAAATTGGTGATTTTGGTTTAGCTACAGATCATCCAGCAAATGCAGTAAGTACAGCTTGAAGTGGATGGAAAAAAACCCTTCAATATGGTGATATAATTACTTGAAAGGTGAATGTTTTTATACTGTGAATGCCATAAACTTTTTTAAATTTCTAAGATTCTAGAATTAAACCATGTACTGCCAACCAAAGTGAAAAGAAAAGCCAACAGAAGCATTTCATGTACTATTTACAATATGTCTGTTTTGCTGATTTCAGGTGCTCTCTAAACAAGAAGAAAATCTCTCAGATGGTTCTGCTATGTCTGACCCTTCAGGTTGGTTTACATTGCAGCTTGTTCTAAATTACTTCAAGCAAACAGTTGTTTTATGCAGTCTTGTATACTCTGTTAGGACTTCCTTTTGTTCTCTGAAAATAATACTTTTTTAAATTGAGGCCAGGGAGAGGACATATCAACAACCAGCTCTTGGGTAGATATATTATATATCATCTGGCAGTTTTGCCTGCTACCTAAAAATTAATTTACTTCCACTGCTAGCCTTCTGCCACAGATCAGTGCTTTCCTCTGGCGAGGTATATAGACATCCTGTATATCTGTTCCGTCTGCACCTCTTTTCTCTTGCCTATACAGGACAATTTCAAGACTTCAGGGTCTTTTGGTTGGGATTGGTTTTTTTTCTTTTTTGATATCACCTGTTTAGAGGTTGAGTTCTGTGTTTTGGGAAAACTTTAGTATGTCTTAAGATGAGTGATGAGTGTAATGGAAATGAAATTTCATTGTTGCATTTGTGTGCTGATAGATCCGTTTATCTACTGTAGATTGGCATGTGAAGATTGACTGTCTTGTTTTGCCAACTGTTCTCAACTGAGTCTCTCTGAATAAGGACTGCACTCCAAGCTAGAAGAAAGAAATGAGGTTTTGTTGATGTTTCTCTTTTACTTACTTGAAACTCATACTCTCATCTTTTGCTCTGTAGGTAATTTGACAGGAATGGTTGGCACTGCACTGTATGTCAGCCCAGAGGTCCAGGGAAGCACTAAATCTACATACAATCAGGTAAGATTGGAGTAGACTTAATAAAAAGGTAGCACAGAATCTAAGGTGTACCAGGTATGATTTGGATCATTCCTCCTCAACAAAGGTGATTTCAGCGTGAAACAGGGTGTGGTGAGATTACTCTGATTGTCAGAGGAATTAAATGTTCCTTCAAGAGGAAACCAAGGGTAAAAGGATGTGGGCAAGCCAGTTTTTCTGCCTGTGCTGTGGTCATGACTAGATGCAAGGAACTTCAAGTTGAAAGCATGTAATCATAGAGGACCTTTATAACTGAATAGGACAGAAAGCTTACAGTCTTCAGTGAAGATGAAATGTCGTCATCAAAAGTATATATTGCTCTTCTGGATTTCTAGACTGTGATTTGGAAGGTAGGGGTGCATTGTTCTTCATCAAAGAAAATCCAGTTTATATGCAGAGACAAACTGAATTTTAAAGCAAGAATGTTTTCAAAGTGGAAGTCATAGAATCATAGAATGGTTTATGTTGGAAGGGCGCCCAAAAATCATCCAGTTCCAATACCCTGCCGTGGCCAGGGACACCTTCCACTAGACCAGATTGCTCCAAACCTCATCTAACCTTGCCTTGAACATTTTCAGTGATGGGGCATCAGCAGCTTCTCTGGGCAACTTGTTCCACCCTCACAGTAAAGAATTTTTTCCTAATATCCAGTCTAAACCTATCCTCTTTCAGTTTAAAGCCGTTCTCCCTTGGTCTGTCACTTAAATGCCTTTGTGAAAAGTCCTTCTCCAGCCTTCTTGTAGCCCCCTTTACATACTGGAAGGCTGCAATGAGGTCTCTCCTCAGAGCCTTTTCTTCTCCAGGCTGAACAATCCCAATTCTCTTAGCCTTTCCTCATAGGAGAGGTGCTCCATCCCTTTCATCATCTTCGTGGTCCTCCTCTGGACTTGCTCCAGCAGGTCCACGTCCTCCTTATGCTGGAAGCCCCAGAGCTGGATGCAGTACTCCAGGTGGGGTATCATGGGAGTGGAGCAGATGAGGAGAATCACCTCTCTTGACCTGCTGGGTCACACTGTTTTTGATGCAGCCCAGGACGTGTTTGGATTTCTGGGCTGCAAGTGTGTACTGTCAGGTCATGTTGAGTATCTTGTCAACCAACATCTCCAGATCCTTTTCAGGGCTGCTCTCAATTCATTCTCTGCCCAGTCTGTATTTGTACTTGGGATTGCCCCAACCCAGGTACAGGACCTTGTACTTGGCTTTGTTGAATTGCATGAGGTTCACACAGGCCCAGATCTCAAGCTTGTCCAGGTCCCTCTGGATGACATCCTTTCCCTGCATATTTATTATAAATAAATTACATCCTTTCCCCACAATATTTATTATAAATAATAAAAAACACACAAAAAGATGCACAAAAAAACCCACCGTTCTCTCCAGCTGTAATACACTGTGAAATTTAACCTAAGCATGGTTTTTTTTTTTCCTTCGCTGTTCTTTGGAGAATTCTTAGTAATGTGTAAGTCTTTTCTTTTTTTGTCTTCCTTAGAAAGTGGATTTGTTCAGTCTGGGTATAATATTCTTTGAAATGTCTTACCATCCTATGAATACTGCATCAGAAAGGATCTTTGTTCTTAGTCAGTTAAGGCTGGTAAGTACATAGATGTGAAACATACTAATTCTATGCATCGAATTAAGAGAAGTAAAATATGCAAATATTTTGCAAAATATAGTAAAAAATGTTTCCATGGGGAGTGCTTAAAAACAAAGTTTGCAAAACATACAATGAAAAGTGAAGAATAAAATTCAGGTTTGCACTGACATTCCTTTAATGTGCTGGATTCTAATGGTATTGCCATGAGTCAGTGTTCCATCTATGAATCTAATTTTTATAATAGAGAATATTAGAGGTGGAAATGTCAGATAAAGGCATCACAGCTTTAGTATACCTAGGTTTAGGCCTGGTGGGTCTTTCTCAGGAATCAGTTGGTATTTATAGTTGGTAAATGCTTGTGATTATGAGTTGTATTTTCATTATACAAAACAACTTTGAAGCATTCTTTTCCTTTTAGCTATACAAACTAACTTTGCAATGTGGGCGTTTATTTGTTTATTTGGGCTTTTTTTTTTGTTTTTCCATGGACAATGAAAATGCTTAGTTTTGCTGTATAAATATATAGAACTTAAAAATAAGACTAATCTGAGCAAGCTGGACTGCCTGTTGTAATTCATATGTGAATTTTGTTTTTGTTAGCCCACTATTGTATTTCCCAAGGACTTTGATGAAGTCAAGCATGCAAAGCAGGTAATTTTGAAGATATTTTAGCTATTAGGTGTTCCCTGTCAGGAAACATTATTTATGGTTTTTTCCTCTTAATTGCCCGTTTAATTCCTCACTTAGTATGCTCTGCCAAGTTCTTACATGACATTAGAACGAAGCAAGGAAAGAAAATCTCAAAAGAATATTCTGAGCTGACATGGAAATATATTTACCAACGAAATTCCCTGAGCACAGTCATAAAGAAACTTAGCATTCACTGGCACACCTTTTAAGCTCTGAGGGACAATTTTGACTTTTTATGCTTAGAGAAATGGCAATTTTGAGTTGTTTAACTTTTAAGTTAAACTATTTGAAAGAAATCTGTGTCACATAACGGAAAGAGGTGTGCAAGCTCAATTGGCTGCTCCGAGCTTGAAAGAGCTGCCAAGAGCTGTTCTGGATGCTTCCATGGCAGAGTGTTGAAATGATAAGGAGCAGTGTAATCTTTTTTGGACCATCTAGATAGCTTTTCACTTGTGCTGGTCAACTCTTTTGTTGACCATTAGTATTAACTTTTTGTCTGTTATGCTTTTAGAATAGCGATCTGCATGTTACTAGCACCATAAAAATGTTTCCATCTTGTACATTTTACTGAAATATGCAGGAAGATTCCCCCTTCTTTAATATTTGTATCTCTCAAATCTTTGTTTTCATGCACACAATTCTGCTTTTTCATAACTTTGTTGAAAAAGAGATACCAGATGGTATGGAACAACAAAGGATAAGGATATTACATATTTTGTCATCCCAGAAAGCATTTCTGATAATTTTTGTGGTTTAGTAAATTTATTCACATGAAAATAGAAGATTCTTAGAATTTAATAAGAAAATAATACGCACCCCAAAGATTCAGATTCTGCTTTTTTTGTCCCCTGTAAAGTCTCAATTTTTTTATTAAAGTAATGTGACTAAGAGGTTTGTTGTACACACTATAATTTATAAAATCTTTCTAATCTATAAAATTTTTATATAATTGTAGAGATCGGTTATTACATGGCTCCTGAACCATGATCCTGCAGCACGACCATCAGCTGTGGAGCTGTTAAAAAGTGAACATCTTCCACCACCACAGATGGAAGAGTCTGAACTCCATGAAGTACTCCACCATACCTTAGCAAACGTGGATGGCAAGGCCTACCGGACCATGATGAGCCAGATATTTTCACAGCGTATATCTCCAGCGATAGACTATACCTATGACAGTGATATGCTGAAGGTTTGTAGGTGTTTAGGGGGTGCATGGGTTTGGCTTTTTTCCCCGTGTTGTGCCTTAAAAGAATATGTTTATATGGCTAAACTCTAATCTGTTTGAAAGAATTGCATTATCTCTGAAGATTAACCTTCACCTTGGTTCCCATTTAAAACTACGGTCTGTACTGTGTGCGTTTGAATAGCCACTTCCCCTTTGAACCTTTCTTCAATGAAGGAACCAGCAGTGTTTGTAGCAGCTAAAGCTTTAGGCTTATGTCCAGATGATTACTTTCTTTACTCTGAATTTCTGTTAAACTAGGGGTACTTCCGGCTGCCAACAGAAAGTGTTACCTCTGACTGTTTTCTTCCCTTTCTAATCAAAGTGATTCTTCTTGGTTTAAATATTTCTGAATCTAAAGAAATACAAGGTAACACAGTACAATAATGCTTTGCATAGCTGTAGTTATTTTTTTATCATTGTAAGCATTGCAATTTATTTTAGTGGAACGAGGTAGCAGAATATTTATTGCCTATATTGTATGGAATGATTGCCTACACAGAGTGTTCATTGCATGTGAATTATATATGTACTTTTTATTTGTGGTGGTTTCAGGGTAGTTTTTCTGTTTGGGCAGCCAAGATACAGCAGCATGTATGTGAGATTGTCAGCCGGATATTTAAAAGACACGGTGGGTGTGTTTACAAAAGTCATTCATTTCCTTTTTTATGATTGAGTGTATTTAAGAGAATGGAATGGTTTTTACTGCTATTACAGGAGTCAGAAAGTATGTTCAATAGCTGCACATCATTTGAAGTTTTTATAATATTTTTTGCTGTTATTTTGTCATCCCAGTGATAGCTACTTATATCAAATCTGAATTATTCACACATTTTCTACAAAAAGAACTAATTATGTTTTTGAATGTATGTGGTTGTTCTGATAGTCAGTATGAGCTTTTAAGGTGAGTTACACAAAATCTGGATCTGAATATAAGGGTAGTTCTAGAGTGAAAGACCAAGCATCCATGTAGCACCATAACCTCTCTCTGAACATCACCTGAATGGGAAAGACATAAGAAAGAATGTGGAAATAGCAAGCATATAGTGGTACTTTGAGTAATACTACTCTTGGCAATGCCTTGCTGTTCAGGAACTTCCTGAGCCAAAGCTCATGCTATGATGTTTAGTAGTCTTTTGTTTTAATTTCCAGGAATCTGTCCAGTCATTAGTAATAGTATTTGCTTGAAATTATTTTTTGAGAGGAAGAAGATTTATGCAGACGCTGTTACACTTGCAGTGTTATAAATTGTGTTGGTTTATAGGTGTTCGTGTTGCTATTTATACGAATATAGAGAATTTTAAAATATAAACTGTAAGGTTTCTTAATATATCATAACCTCATTAAACATGATGAAAATTTGGCAATACAGAAGAATAGAAAACTGAGAAATGTGAAGTTAAGAAATAAATTGCTCTCTCCCCTCCTCACCCTTAAAACTTGACAGACTTTGGAAGACATTTGTGAGCATTTTAGAAACTGAAATACTTTCATTCTTTTGGGAAAAAGGATGGGGGTGCATATATATTGTGTTTTTTTTATTAGATTGTATCTGCCATCTGTAATGTTTAGAATAATTTCTTTCTATATGGGGCTTTTTCTTTCTGATTTAAACGTTTATGTTGAAATCTAATTGAAGACATGAGTTAAGCTTCTAGGGAATCACTAGGGAATTTAGAACAGGAAAATATTTTTCAGTGATTACAGATATTATTAATAGTAAGGTTTCAATGAAGATGAGATCCATACAGATAGATAGTTGCAAAACATAGCCAGAAAAAAAAAGTATTTTAGGTTTTAAAATTATACATAAGCACTTCTAGTATGTTTTTAAGACAACATTTGTTCTGTGTGGAAGTGCCTCTAGACCAAAGCAAGTACTGCTGGTAACTGCAGAGATGCTCATCTGTTTCGTATCATGCCTTTATGAAAGGTGGTGTTTAAGGAGGGGTGCAAGGTGAGGATTATGCTGGGCTGTGAATTGGCAGTCTCCTCTTTTACTCTGTGGGCTGCCTGCTGAGTCCAAGAAACACGTGAGATACAACATCAGAATTTGTTTTATGCCCTTGTTCAAATGTGGAAGAGGGAGGTCTATTAAATACGCTTAATGTAACTTTTAAAATGCATGGATTTTACTTTATCATGCCCTGCAAGGTTGTTCATGAACTTGTAAAAAGCAGATGTTACTTCTAAAATGAGAGAATAGCATTTTCTGATTTTTGTGCAGGAGCCATCAAGCTTCATACTCCACTGCTAATGCCCAGAAATAGGAAACTATATGAACATAATGAAGCTTCATATTTCATGGATCACAGTGGGATGCTGGTAATGCTTCCTTATGACCTCAGGGTAAGTAGTATAATCTCTGTAGGCAAAGCTGTGTTTGAAGTGTGCTATGGTGTTTGCAGATTCCTTGGACTCACTAGTTACAAATTTGGTTTAGGCTTGTTCTTCTGACTGCTGAAGTAATATATCTTTCTGTGTCTGTCCCTCTACTCCTGTTTTTCACTCCTAGTCTTGACAGTTGGAGCCATGATGGCATATCAAAGAAATAGACTTATTTCTTCTTTTTTTTTAAACACGGTGGTGAAAATAGTGTTTCTATTTAAAACTTGCAGCAAGGATGATTAGATTAATATTACTTGGTTATGGCAAGTATTTAAGGCATTATTATTTCACATGTGAGAGTACAAGTGTAACTGCATGGTAGTATTTCATCTCCAGGTACAGAGTCCAGTCAGACTGAGTGTTTTGTTTCAACAGTTTTCATGTATTTTGTTTTTCAGATTCCTTTTGCAAGATTTGTAGCTAGAAATAACATAACAAACTTGAAAAGGTAAGAGACATAGAGGTGATGTTTTGCATGGATACCATGCTGTGACAGTGACTCCTGAAGAGGTTGATTCATTCTTCAATGTTTTCTTTAGATACTGTATAGAGCGAGTTTTCAGACCTCGGAAGTTAGACCGCTGTCATCCCAAAGAACTCCTAGAATGTGCATTTGACATCGTTACATCTACTGGAAATAGCTTTTTGCCTATAGCAGAAACAATTTATGCCATTTCAGAAATCATTCAAGAGTTTTCAGTGCTACAGGTAGATTGTCTAATCAGCCCCTTTGCTCTCTTTTCCATCCTAAAAATTTAATCTAAGTGCATATTTAGTCTAATGTATTTCAAAAGGATACTTTCTTTAAAATGTACAGAACTACTTTCATTTTTTATCAGTAGTCAGTTATAGAACACTGTCGTTTAAGTAAAAAATAAGTTTTGTAGGTCAACTTAAAAAGAAGCATGGGTTTATGTGCAAAATAAATATTAATTGAATCCTTTACAATGCCATTGAAATAATGTCTTCTTGCTGTCAGGCAAGTGATTACTGTAGAATGGGACAAGATTTGCCATTCTTTAGTTATAGATGGAAGATAAGGTAGTGAAAGAAGAGGTTTGAAGTTGGTTTTGGACTATTATTAAATGTTTAGGAAGCTTCTTTGTTTTTTGTGGAGTTTGGTTTTTTTAAGCAAAGCAGAATACAAGTAAAACTTGTTTTTGTCATTTCTTTTTGCTTTTCTTTCTATTTTGTACATTGTTAGGAAAGAAATTACAGTATTTACTTGAACCACACGGCCTTACTGAAAGCTATACTTTTGCACTGTGGGATACCAGAGGACAAACTCAGTCAAGTCTACATCATTCTATATGATGCTGTGGTAAGGCATTAGTTACTAATCTAATCTCTATAATCATCACTATAGAGTATCCTATTTTGTGGAGCTATCTAAAAGCCCACTGCCAGCATAACCAGGAATATCCTGTTGATATATAAAAAGGCTGGCTATCTGTGGGCTGTAAACATAGATTATTACTTTTCTCTTACTTCTGGGTTGGGGTGGTTTAAGATGATTATTTTAATATATATTTATGAGAGAATCTTTCACCTGTATAATCAAGAACTGGCAGACTAGTCAATATAAACTTTAAAACTTATTTTAATGTCGAGTTGGTCTTTTCTAGTATATAAGCAGAGAATATAGATGAAATTCATTTGAATAGTTACATAATGCATAAAAGCCAATAAAATGCCATTTAAATCTGTTCTTCCTATAGACTGAAAAGCTAACTAAAAGGGAGGTGGAAGCTAAATTCTGTAATCTTTCTCTCACATCAAATAGTGTAAGTAATTTTAATTCAATGTTAATTTCCCTTTAATTTTCCCATAAGTCAATCATATTTTATTGTCTTTGTAATTTAATCACTGAGAGTAAGAAAAATAACCTGTTACTTGTGCTGTTCAGAATAGATCAGTCTCTTTCCAAGTAGTCTGACTTTGTTCTCTGTTTTCTCTGGAAGCCGGTATCACAACTGTTCAGGTTTCTTCTTTAAACATATTTTTCAGACTGTGGAAACTAATAAAGGGTAAATGGAATCCTGTACAGTGGTATTTAGTAAAACAAACTGAGACAAACTTTAAAAAAAAATTCTGCAAATGTTGATGAATGTGCTTAAGGAGTTAATTTCTGGACACTCTGAGACTTGTGTCTGTGTATTCCTTTCCTCAACTCACTAGGTAAAAACAGGAGTCTAAGAAAAACAAACAAAAAAGGCAGATATTTTTCCTTTTTTTTCTTTTTTTTAGATGTGACCCATCATGTCTATGTTCCTACATATGTTTATAATTTTATTTTTCCGTTTTAGCTTTCTCGACTCTACAGATTCATTGAGCAGAAGGGAGAAGCAAGTAATGTGTTTCCATTTTTAAACACAATGATAAAACAAAAACCAGGTGTCACTCAGCTCTTGAAACATGGAATGAAGGATTTAGAGGAAGTCATTGGTCTGTTAAAGCATCTGGGAATAAAACTTCAGGTTTGTAAAATACTCCGCTAATACATTAATGGATTTACAGGCTGCTGGGCCAGGAAACAAAGTAATGATATTTTAGAGCAGAAAAAGCAAATCAAAGTGTCTTTTGATCGCTGTAATAGTATTGGCATTCATTTTTCTTCTTCTTTTTTTCCTTTCTTTTTTTTTAAGGGTGCATTTTAAAAATAAGACTCTTCCAGTCATAAGTCTGTGGCTTATCTTCTATTAAATGAGAGACAGACTCTTTTTTTTCCCCAACCAAGATTGAAGGCATTACTTAGAGCATAAAGGATGGGTTTTATTAAATTTTGAAACAAACTGTAAATATTTTTTAAAATACAGAAATCTGATGACTACTAAAGGCCCCCACCTTCCTTGAGGCTTGCTGTTTGGGTTTTGTGCTGTAGGTTTCTTGGGGTGCTTTAAGATTAAAGTATCATTTCCTTATTTTTCATAGTATTTTAAATTTCTGGAGATGAGTGTTTCCATATGTCTTCCTTATGTGAAAACAGTGTTTTCAATTCATGCTGCTAACAGGAAATTAATTATATATGTGCACATATTCATTTTTATTTTACAGATTTCTATAAATCTGGGACTGGTTTACAAAATACAGCAGCACAATGGTATTATCTTTCAGTTTGTAGCGTACATCAAAAGAAGACAAAGAACTGTGCCTGAAATTCTTGCTGCAGGGGGCAGATATGATCATCTGGTATGTGCTCATCTCTTTTAATGAATTCAGATTTTTTTTTTTTAACCCATAAAAAATGAGAAGCCTGTTTGTCATTTTGCCGAGATAACTATTTGGTCTTCCATTTTGTTTTTGTCTTGTTTTTGAGATTCCACAATTTAGAGGGCCACAGACGGTAGGACCAGTTCCTTCAGCTGTTGGAGTCAGCATAGCTATAGACAAAATAACTGCTGCTGTTTCCAGCGTAGAGGATTCTGTAAGTCTTCTTTCTGGGAAGTGGGGGATTTGTTTGTTGACTTCTGACAGTTCAGTAATTTAATTGCAGCTACAGATAGGCAAAAAATAAGATGTTCAGATGTGTACTAAAATAATACCATACTGAAATAGAAGGCAGACATCAAGATGACCTGTTTTCTTTTTTTGTGTTTCTTTACATAAAATTATTTAGTAAAATGAAAGTTAGGGGAAGAAGGGATCTTCAGGCTTACAACTTTTTATTTTCAATTTAAATGTCCCATTTTTCTCAGCCTGTGTATTCTTTCAGATGGAAGAGTACAACTGTAGATATTTAGTGTTACTTTTCCCCTGCTACTTCTCCCTGTATAAAAATATAGAAAGTGGAGATGGAAGAAAACTCTGAGAATTTTGTACAGTGTCAAACAACTTCACTTGGTTGTGGAATGTGTATTTTACTAATTTTTCTTCATAATGAACATTGCTAAGCTGAGTGGGAAGGAGAGAACAGAATAGGCTGGAATGTTTTGCAAGCTGAGGCTGTGAAGATGCTTTGTGTCAAAGATTAAGCTTCAATGACTTTTAAACGTGCTTAGGTAAATTGTAGCTCTAGAAAGAGGTGGATCTAACCACTATTTTTTTGTTTTGTTTCTTTTGGGGTTTTGTTTGTTTTTTTCTGGTTCGATGCATTTTAATAAACTATATATTTATCCTTCTTTGTTACTTTAACTGGCTAATGAAGGGGAAAAGGTGATCTTGTGACTAATATTGTCTCCTTGTTTTTGACTTTCCCATCAGGTTTCTCTCAGTTCATGTGACCTGCTGGTCGTAAGTGTTGGTCAGATGTCAATGGGTAGAGCTATCAATATTGTTCAGAAACTCTGGACTGCAGGAATTCCAGCTGAAATAATGTATGACTGGTCCCAGGTAGAATTTCTGTCTCCATGTATTAACTAACTGTATTTTTGTTCTCTAAGATAAGTGCAACCAGAGACCATATTTCTTTTGCCATTTACAACAGTTTCAATCGCTCAGAATTGGAAAAAATCTAGATTATATGCCTTTCCTATGATCTTGGTGGGGGGTGGGGGTGCTTTTCAGGTGGGTTTTTTTTTTTTTTGGTGATTCATAAGAAATGAAGGTTTGGGTAGTTCTTGCCCCCGTCTAACGATGTCCTGTAACCCAGTGCTGAGTAAGTCAGCATAGCAAGCCCTTCAGTAAGATCAGCACTGAGGATGTTGTCGGTCAGCCTCAGTTTTACAAAAAACCCAGCTGACTTCAGTTTTTGTGACAGACTACCAGGACTGAGCTATTACTGAAAGCTGCAGCCAGCAGGGTGGTAAGTGTTGATTGATGTTACACTGCACATTTTTACAGTTATGTAGACCCTGCACTCCTAGATAGAGCTAGCCCTTCCATGTGAGAACTAGGACTGCAGGGTCTAGACTTTGTCTAAGTTTAGACTTAAATTTCAATTTTTAAGGAGCATTAGGTGGATAAATATATGCATAATGAAGTTTCATCTCCTGGAGTTGTTAATCAAGATTTTCTCTCTCAGGAGCTCATATAAGCAGTGTAACTGTTGCATATCAAGTTATTTTAAAGACAGGAGACTTTGATTACTTAAGTGGTCATTTTATAACCTGTCAAATTTCTTTCCCATCCCCCTTCTCCTGTTCAAATTTTAGTCCCAGGAAGAACTGCAGGAATACTGCAGATGCTCTGGGATTACCTATGTAGCTCTTGTGTCAGATAAAGAAGGAAGTCATGTGAAGGTAAGTGTAGGACCAGACGATGTTTGGTGTTTCGGGTTTATAATCTGTTCTTCTACATTATTTTATTTTTTTTGTGATTGTTATTATTAATATAATATTAATTATACTTAAGCAGGTGAAGTTGAGGTAAATACAGTTTCAGTTGTTAAGTTGTGGAATGTTCTTCTGAAGAATAGTGCATTTTATCCCTTCATAACACTGTTATTCACAAACCTACTTTCTTCTGGGAAAGTCCGAAGATTAGTGCAAACATTGCTTGACTTTGTTATTGGTGGTTTTATATGGAACAAGGTTTCTCTTGTCTCTGACTTTTTTGAATCTACAAAATCAATTAGTTAACAATCTTTCTAGTTGGCAGCTTTTCACGTTGCAAAATAAAGACAACTAAAATATAAATCTAAAAATGTAGTTCAGACAGACAGAGTCAGAATCACACTGCTCACCTCTGTAAGCTAAAGTTAAGATGCAAACAGTGGACTGTGTCACAACATGAATTACCACGCTCTGTACTCTGCAACCTGTGATTCTGCTATGTTTTTTTGAAGTTAAAAGTTTTAAAATATTCTGTATCATTAGAGAAAACTTTTTTTTTTTTTGAGTAAAGATTCATTCTTTTAAAATATAGTAACTATTTGACAGCATCTGGTACGGACATTTTACCAAGCCAGTGTACCTTACTAAAATATTTTTCACTTGTTGTTAACTATCTTTGTTATTATAACAGAGATAGCAAATAACTGCATTAATTGTATGAGTGAGTAGATCTTGATGATGAGAATGTGATATATCAAAGTCTTCCACCAGACTATTGCAGAGCGTTCTTTTAAATATGGCTTTATTGAAGCAAAACCAAGAAAGAAT